ATCTGAAACAAAAACAGAAATTGCTGGAGAAACTCAGCAGGTCTGGCAGCACCTTTGCAGACAAAACTGAGTTAAAGTTTTGGGCCCAGTGACCCTTTGTCAGACTGAGAACTGATGAAACTGATTAAATGTGATTGGTAGAAGAAACAACAGTGACAGGAGGAAACTGTTGACTCAGCTAGCGGATAGAGTCTGAGAATGTGGTTCGATTAGATTCAACCATGGATTTTAAGAGTGAATTGGATCATTATCTGAATGGGAAAGAATGACCCAGCTCTAGATTAAAGGCAAGGGAGTGGTTCTCGATGAATTATTCTTGCAAATAGCTGGTACAGACACAAAGAGTTGTTAATGTGTGTGAATTTTGTGTCGTAACCACTCTGTGATTCATTGAGACACAAAATTCTGTTAATTGCTGGTTTTATTTGGATTAAAAGCAATTCAGATGAAAAGACCCTGATGGGAATTGGATATAGGCTTTCTAGCAGCAATCAGGATGTAGGGAAGAAAATAAATCAGGAGATGGAAAAGGTGTGTAAGCAAGGCACTTTTACAATAATCATGGGGCACTTCAATATGGATATGGACTGGGAAGATCAGATTGGTAGCGAATCTCAGGAAAAGAAATTTGTCGAATGTCTACAAGATTTTCTTTTTGGAGCAGCTTGTGGTAGAGCCCCGTGGCAGCTCTGGATTTGATGATCTGTAACAGGGAAGACTTGATAAAGGATCTTAAGACGAAGGAACCTCTAGGGGACAATGACCACAATATGATAGAATTCAGCCTGCAGTTTGCGAAGAAGAAATTGGAATCAAATAGAACGGTATTACAATTGAGTAAAGGTAACTACAAAGACAGGACGGAGGAGCTGGCGAGAGTTGATTGGAAGGGGAGCCTAGCAGGGAAGACAGTGGAGCAGTAATGGCTGGATTTTCTCAGGACAATTCAGGAGGCACAGTAATAATTCATGCCAAGGAAGAAGAAACATACTAAGGGGTGGACAAAGCAATTGTAGTTGACAAGGGAAGTCACGGACGGCATAAAAACAGAGAAAATGCATACAATGTGGTGAAGATAAGTGGGAAGCCAGGGGCTTGGGAAGCCTTTAAAAACCAACAGAGGATAACTGGAAAAAGCAGTAAAGGGGGAGAAAATGAAATTTGAGAGTAAGCTAGCTAGGATTATAAAACAAGATTGCAACAGTTTTGTTTTTAGATATATAAGAGGTAAGAGAGAAGCGAAGTGAACATTGGACCACAGGAAAATGAGGCTGGAGAAGTAGTAATAAGGAATAAATCAATAGCAGAGGAGCTGAATAGGTAATTTGCATCGGTTTTCTCAGCAGAAGACACCAGCAGCAAACCAGAACTTCAAGAGAATCAGGGAGTAGAGGTGAGTGTGGTTATCATCACTAAGGAGAAGGTGCTGGGGAAGCTGAAAGGTCTAAAGGTGGATAAATTACCTGGACCAGATGGACTACATCCCAGAGTTCTGAAGGAGAAGCTGAGGAGATTGTGGAGGCATTGCTGGTGATCATTCAGGAATCACTGGAGTCAGGGAAGTTTCCAGTGAACTGGAAAATGGTTAAAATAATACTCCTGTTTAACAAAGGAGGGAGGCAGAAGTCAGGAAACTATAAGCTGGTTAGCCTGACCTCGGTCATTGGTAGAGTCCATTATTAGGTATTGCGGATTACTTGAAAGTGCATGGTAAAATACAGCTGAGTCAGCACGGCTACATTAACAGCAGGTTATGCCTAACAAATGTGTTAGAACTCTTTGAGGAGGTACCGAGCAAGTTAGAAAAAGGAGAGCTAGTGGAAGTGATCTATTTGGATTTCCAGAATGCCTTTGACAAGGTGCCACATAGGAGGTTGCTAAAAAAGACAAGAGCCCACTATGTTAAGGCAAGGTATTGGCATAGATAGTGGATTGGCTGACTAGCAGAAGACGGAGAGTTGGGAAAAAAAGAATCTTTTTCATAATGGCAGCCGGTGACTAGTGGAGTTCCACAGGATTCTGTTTTGGGACCACAACTACTCACATGATACATTAATGATCTGGACGAAGGAACTGAAGGCATTGTCGCTAAGTTTGCAGATGATGTAAAGATAGCTGGAGGGAAAGTTCAGGAAGCGGGGAGGCTGCAAAAGGACTTGGACAGGTTAGGAGAGTGGACAAAGAAGTAGCAGGTGGAATACAATGTGTAAGGTGTCATGTAATGCACTTTGATAGGAAGTATAGATGCAGAGACTATTTTCTAAATGCAGAAAGGCTTCAGAAATCTGAAGCACAAAGGGACTTGGGAATCCTAAGGCTAACATATAAGTTCAGTTGGCAGCTAGGAACGAAAATGCAATGTTTGCATTCATTTCAAGAGGGCTAGAATACAAGAGCAGAGATGTAAAGTTGAGGCTGTATAAGGCTCTGTCCAGACAGGATTTGGAATGTTGTGCGCGTTTTCGGGCCTGTATCTAAGGAAGGATGTGCTGGCCTTGGAGAGGGTCCAGAGAAGATTTAAAAGAATGATTCCGGGGATGAAGGGCTTGTCATAGAAGCAGTTGAGGACTCTACGTCTGTACTCGATGCAGTTTAGAAGGATGAGGGGGGATTTGAATGAAACTTTCAGATTACTGAGACGTCTGGATAGAGTGGGGTGGAGAAGATTTTTCGGTAAATAGAGGAGACTAGAACCCGAGGGCGCAGCTTCATGGTGAAGGGACGACCTTTTAAAACTGAGATGAGAAGGAATTTCTTCAGCTGGATGGTGGGGATTCTGTGGAACTCATTGCTGCAGGGGGCTGCAGAAGCCAGGTCATTGAATGTACTTCAAACAGAGATAGATAGGTTCTTAATTGGTAAAGGGGTCAAGGGTTATGGGGAGAACACAAGAGAATGGAGTTGAGAAACATATCAGTCTTGATTGAATGGTGGGGAGCACACTCCTTGGCTGAATGGCCTAATTCTACTCCTGCATCTTATGATCTGGAGAGGAAGAGAGGACTATTTGTGAATAATTTAAATGGCAGATTTGCCGAAATAAAGATTTTTTCAAATCGTTATTATCATCATAACTTTTTTCCAAACTAAAACTCAGCAAATAAACATTGATTAATTCTAGAAACTGCTCAGAATGGCCAGATTATTGAATGAAATAGTACATTATATCTTGTGCTATTAACAATGTCAGCACATTGCATACATGCTGACTCATTCTGAGATTTCAATTTAGTCTAATACCTTGGTCTTCCCAAAGCCTCATGTTTCTTTGAGTATTTAGCTAATTCTCTTTTGAAAGTTGTCAACACAGTGTGGCGCTGGAGAAACACAGCAGGTCAGGCAGCATCAGAGGAGCAGGAGAGTCAATGTTTCAAAACATCGACTGTCCTGCTCCTCTGATGGTGCCTGACCTGTTATGTTCCTCCAGCTCCACACTGTATTGACTCTGATTCCAACATCTGCAGTTCTTGCTATCTCTTTTAAAAGTTTCCATTGTATTTGTTCCACCACCCTTTCAGATAGTCCACACCAGAATATAGTTTGAAACCATTCTGATGAAAGGTCACTGGATGCAAAACATCAATTCTGTTTTTTCTTTCTACAGATGTTGCCAGAGCTGCTAAGTTTCTCTAGCAATTTCTGTTTTGGTTCCAGATCACAACTCACGCTATTCTCATGACACCTCTGGTTCTTTGGTCAATTACCCTATATCTGTCTTTGGTTGCTGACCCTTTTGCCAGTGGAACTAGTTTCTCCATATTTAATCTGTTAAAATCTTGAGCAAACCTTCAAGTTATTGAATGTATTTTGAATTCCAGGTCATTAACAGATATCAAACAGAGGTGTAACATTTCTAAAAGCTTAATCTGGGGAACATCACTATAGTGTCAAAAACAATTGTTCCACACAGCTTTGCATTCTAAGGCCCTGAGCAATCTGTATCCATGCTGTCATTCGCCCTTTTAATCCCGTGCACCTCAAATTGACTAATAGGTCTATAACATAATACTTTCTTCAACGCTTTTTAGAAGCTAAGATTCATAATAACAGTCATAGTACTCTCATTGACCCTTCCCCTTACTTCATTAAGGATGCAGTTGATTTGAACCCATCAGCCTAACCCTAACCCTAAACTACTTCAAGGAAAAATATCCAGTTCAAGGCTAAGCTTATGAGGCAGGCTGAGACTTTGAAATTAAAAAAAATGAGAGAATTAACGACCAGAGATGATAATTAAGTGGACAAGCTGAATTAATCTCATCATTTGATTTTTTAAATTTTTTTCGTACTTGGGTCAAAGCTTTAAACTTGGAACAGGCGATAAATAAAAAGGTTCTTTGGAGTATCCACACTAAGCAAGTACTATGACTATTTTATGAGTCAGGAGGTGACCAAACTGCTGTAGAATAATCAATTACTTAACTGCTACAGTACTCACAACACTGTTGTGGCTGATTCCACCCCCCCACCCCTTCAATTTCTAGTTAATCAGGGCAGGGATGTTGATGGTGAGAGACGTGATAAGATCTGAAAGTAAGGCACCGACATGGTAGTGCTGCAAAACAGGACTGCATGTTTGCAAACAGGACAGCAGAAGCAGAATGGCATAGATGGAGCTAAGCAATTCATAAACCCCTGCAGTCATTCCACGCCAAGTTAAGGCTCAAATATTTGTGGACTAACAGAAAGTTGAGCATCAAGGAGCATCCTCAATGACGTCAGAATGCAGCACTTGATAGCATGGGCCACGAATGCATGAAATATCAGGATGCATAAAGCAATGTTTAACTGCTGGCATTTATAAGGTTATAACATACTGTTGGGTAGCTACCTTGATATTGAGTCATTTAACACCTTCTTATTAAATGACCCCATAATCAGACAGGACCCAAGCATTTAATCCTACATATTTAAAGAAAGACTTCATATTGAAACAGTCCATCTTATAAAAGAGACTTTTTTAAAAAATGTATCTATCAAATTAAAAAAAACATGCTTACCAATGCAAATAGGTGCCTCTGCCCACCCTTTGGAAGAGCAAGTCAGAGTCTTTGGCCCATAAATATGAAAGCCACGATTACATCTATAGTTTATCTGGGTCCCTTCATAATACTTTTCTTTATCAGGAGTAAATTTCCCATTTATTAATGCAGGTGGTTTTCCACATCCCAGTTCTGTAAAGTATAAGATCAAGTATAACTAGGAGTAAATTGGATTAGTTTTCCATCGAATTCAACTAAAACATAATAGCTGACCATGGTGAGACCAAATTATAGCATTTAATACCACATTCCTACTTTTACATTGAACAGTTGATCATGCCCCTTCTTAAGACATGGCCCATTTTTTACCAGTTTATCATACACCTCTAAATGTCTGTTCTTGCATACTGCTTGCAGCAACACTTGGTCGATTGCTGCTCTACAGTCTTGATGAGGAAGTTCAACAGCATTATAGCAGCTGTAACTCATCAGTTGACATTATGGTGAAGATTTCGCTTCAGTATTTCATTAGCCTTGTGTTGCCCTGAGGTAATAAAAGGTACTTTATGAATGCAAATTCTTCTTTTCACGGAAATCATACTTGTTAGAGCAGTCTTCTCTAGAAAGTCAAATACAAAAATCTAATGTATCTTTCACATATTTACAATGCGGTGAGGATATCCTTATTGTCAGGAATGTTGGCCTATAAAGACAAATTACCAGGAGTATTGCCAAGATTTCCATCCCCTTATAACTAATAATGTGGAAATGTACAGCATGAAACAATTTCATGCTTAATGGCAGAAATATCTTCTCAATGTAATACAAAAACTTTGGTTATTCCCTGTGCAAATGGATAAAATCACATTTTCCAGAGCTCCTTATCAAGGCATGACAAAGCACACTGTGTGAAGAAATAACATTATGCTTCATTGTTATGGATGTGAGGAATTGGGAATTCCTTCAATAATACTGCATTATTTTTCTGACATTCCACATAGATTTCATGGATTTCCTTGTGGCTTCAATGAATCTCTGAACATAACACACTGGTAACAACGATTAAAAATATCTCCAGGAAGTATAGCAACCTCTAATGGCTGCTGCACTGTCTCCGGAGGGAAAAGCAGCAGGTTAAGATGAACCAAAAAGAGACAATTGAATTATCACACTTGGGAATTATTGGCCTCGCTGTTATCTTCCTCAACTGCGTGAAAGACAGTGCAGGCTTGATTAAGGATGTCCCTGGCTGAGTCAGCTGCTGTAAGATGACTCGCACTCAGAAGGATTGGGTTCCAATCTCTTCCTGGTGGCCATCAAAGTCACAACTGCCTGTTACAAGGAGTGATAGGTAGCTTTTGTAGGCACATTTCAAGGTCCAGGACTACGTGTTTTGGGAACGCACTAAATCTTGGGGCAGCTGTCGCCAAGATGCGCTGGGTAAAGACCACAGTCTGAGGTCTTCCTGCTGAAGGTAAATGGAGGTCCGTTCAGTTATCGGACCCTCCTAGTGTCTCAAATATAAGTAAATGTTAGTGTTGTGTGCATAAGAGAGGTCTTGGTTTTGTGGATAGAGTTCAAGTCCCAAGTTTTGTTTCTTTACTTAATATGAAACTGTACAGAACTGAACTGCATTTATGACTATGAATATATACAAAGGGATTTTTTTGAGCAAAGTATATTTTTGAAATAAAAAGAAGGGTGGCTTGTGTGGCAAACCCAAATCCTCAAACTACAAATGCATCCATGATCTTAGCAACACAATTTTCCCCACAGCACATGTTTTCATATCTTTACCCCTTGACAATGCTAGTCAAGCAGCTAGGGCATTAAGATTCTTCACTATCCGTGGCTTTCCTCCAACTGCAGGGTGCTATTGACTGTATCAAAGTTGCTTTGAGTGTTCTCTCACTCACCGGAAATGTTTGCAAACAGAAAAGCTTCCAGTCCCTGAACATTCAAATCATTTGTGACTTTTGACATTTTAAATTCTGGATGGCTGTTTCAATAACCTGGCAGCTGCCATGATTCTTACATACTGAAGAACTCTCAAGTTCCTGTCTCCTTCAAAGGAGACAAGGGTGCCCCCTCCAAACAAGGCTCATGACACCTTTAACACACCCTCAGACTGATGCAGAACAAAGGTATAGGATTGCTCGTAAGTTGGCCTCTTGATGATGAGGTTTCAATGCTTGGAACACTGGCAGGGGCTTGCATTATATCCTACATAGTGTGTGCTGCATTATTATGGTCTGCTGTGTCATCCAAAACTGATGCCAACTGATTAACTCTGTGGCTCTTTATTTTTCAAAAGTATATCGTAAAGCACAGAGTTGGGTTCTAGTTGAGAGAGATGTCTTGAAGTTTATCAATGTCATAAACAATTTACGTGACTAAAAATACCTCTGACTTAGACACAGTCTGGGTTCGCTGCTTACTGATCATACTGTACATTACATACAGACAGCTTACTGACTGAGCAGATCATAATACAGAGAATAATTGAAGGAGAACTAAATACTGTTATACTGGAAGTTTACTTGTCATGATGTCATATCTTAAAGCTTCAGGCCTATATAGTCTAGTTTTATAACAATTCCTCTTATCCCTGTAGAAAGTGGGAACCTTTTCCTGATAACATGTAAAAGGGTGCATTGCAAATAGATGGGCTGAATCTTAGCCAAAATAGAGTAAGCGTCAACCCTCTTGATGCTGCCTGGCCTGCTGTGTTTCTCCAGCCCCACACTTTGTTATCTCTGACTCCAGCATTGGCAGTTCTTTCTATCTCAAGAGTAAGCACCAGTTTTGTTTGAAATTCTACTGTGCACCTGGTCAAACTTTGGCAATCTGGCTTTGCTCCACCAGCAAAGTAATGAAGTCATAGTGTCATATAGCACAATACAGACTGTTTGGTCCAAATCATCCATGCCGACCAGGTATCCCAAACTTAACTAGTTCTATTTGTTCCATATCCTTCTAAACCTTTCCTATTCATGTACCTATCCAAACGTCTTTTAAATTGTACCTACCTCTACCACTGCCCTCCGCAGCTCATTACATGCAGGCACCACCCTCTGTGTGAAAATGTTGCTCCTCAGGTCCCTTTTAAATCCTTACCCTCTCACCTAAAACCTATGCCCTCTAGCTTTGGACTTCCATACCCTAGGTAAAAGACCTTGGCTTTTTATCTTACCAATGCCCCTTATGATTTTATAAACCACTATAAGGTCACCCCTCATCCTCCAATGCTGTAAAGAATAAAGTCCCAGCCTATTCAGCCTCTCCTTACAACTGAAACCTTCCAGTCCTAACAACATCCCTGTAAATTTTTTCTGCACCTTTTCAAGTTTAACATCATTCCTATAGCAGGGTGACCAGAATTGTATGCAGCATTCTAAAGTGGCCTAACCAATTCCTAAGTCACACGACTCACAGCATACAGCGGCTGGTTGTCTCTCTGTTGAATAGGCAGCCCCATTTTCTCACCTTAGTTACTGTGGACAGCTCCAGGGGTCCACACCACTAGATCCAACCAACTTGGAAACTATTGCAGCACTGCTGTGACCGGGTGGAAAGATATGCCCAGCAATAAAGCAAGAAGGTCAATGACTCCCTGTGCTCTGAAAAAGTGTCATTATCTTCTCTCTGCTACCTCACACTCACAGTGCTAGCACTCACTCTAACTCTGCCACCGTATGTACATCTGAGAGTCATGGATGTCAACTCTCTGTAATCCATGCATCATGTCCACTCTCATCCACCTCATCCCCAGAAACAGTTGATCATTGTTGCCCTCTGTGCTTTCTACTTACTCAGTGAGGATACCACACCACTTATCCTGTTCATCCCAACTTACCATCTACAATAATCCCCCCCGCCCCGTCCAACCATCTTTATTACTGTAGTCCTCAGTGATACAGTACAACGTAGCACATCCCCAGACTTGAATTACTTTCCCCAGGAATCTGCGACTGACGTGCCAGTACTCACCAAAGCCCCAGGACTGATCATGGCCCAGACTTGGCAAGACATCCCCAACTGAACGTGGCCATTTCCTGACTGATCTCCCAACCTCTGGTGCTAGCTGACCTATCTGTAACTCCTGGGCTGCTTGTCCAATCCCCGGTCTACAAAGGCACCATCACCGGACTCTGAGACGGCCAAGTACCTGATTGACTACAGCCAACCTTTGACTAGATTAAGACCCTAGAGTGATTAGAGCCCACTTTCACCCAGTTAAGGACTGCTCCCCATTGGCTTTCACACATGGCCATTTGCTTGAAGCATGTGCAGTTGATTGCTGTGTAAACTGCTGGCACATGCTGTGGGTCTGAAAGTAACATAGCACAGTGCTGTGCAGTGACGTGTCCACTTTTCTGGACTGATAGATTGACTGTTCAACAGTTCATACCATTACAGCTCCTGCCTCTCCCTCGATGCTAAAAAGCAATGTGACCCACAGAGACTGACAGCCTGGAACTGAGCATGAAGTGCTTTGTATGCTAAGAATGCAATGTGTTACATGCCGATTGGCAACTTGCAAGTCAGTACTAAATTCAGTGAGCATGTGCTAAGAAAGTAATGTGAAGTAGACAGAAGCTGGCAGCCTTCTTTGCCTGGCGGTAAAGTGTGAGTGCTAAGAAAGCGTGCTAGCAGCCAAAAGCTACATATGTCCACATCAGGACAAAAGCATCTTTAGTAGATACACTTTAGTAGGTGCATGTCTGTCTCTGCACAGAACAACTTGTTGGAAGCAATCAGTTATTGATGTCTCAGAGCTCTAAAATAAAGTTGAAGGGCTGAAGTCATGTCTGAGTTGGTCCACAGCAAGAATATGACATTGGTGAGGCTGGATGAAAGGTCAAGAAGGGTAGCGGGTATGGAAAATGCAAGGATATTGTTCACAAGAAGCAGTTGTATGATGGCCAGGAGAAACACCGGGAAAGCTGCAACTATCAGTTACCCCCTTGGATATACATGTTAAGAATTTGTGCCATCTAGTTTCTTGGTGGAGGAGGAAAGAATGTGAAGTGATACACAAGTAAGTGCATTTGGGGTTCTAATGAAATGGAAAGGCATTAGAAATAAGTTAGTTGCTGTTCAATGGTGAGATTCTGAAGTCAGCATTTAAAACTTGAGGAAAACTTGGGGGCGGATGTTGACCTCAATGTCAAGAATCAGATCTTTCTCATTCTCACTGTATTTTCCCACCTTTCTCGGCATTACTCTTGCCATAACGGGGAGGGGAGAGCTCCATCCAATGTAACTGCATAATGCAATAATGGGACTTTTTTTTCTCCTATTAGTCAGAATGTTCTGTGGTGGTCAGGAGGTTGCAGCCGTGTGAATGACCTTGTAAGCTCGAGCTGATCATTCCCGATCTGGGAACTGGGTTTTATTGTCCTTTTGGAGCACTCTCAAGATAAGCTTGTAGCCCACAGCCATGAAGACGGCCTAGAGTCCTGAAAAAGATCACTCCAGGCCTGAGAAGCTGGTAACATTATTCATGTGTCATCTCGTCATTTAATATAACAGTGTGAGCAGTTAAATAAAACCTAATACTCTTACGTGAATGCAAATAACTCCAATTGTTTGAATCAGTAGTAAAGCTATTGCTGCTGGGCTAACAACCCTCTTTTATAACTGTCACCTGCAGAAAATCTGTCAGCATTTGTCAATTAACACATTTCTTTTATCATTTCCATTACATTCTAGTAATTATGAAAATAAGTTACCAATGCAGATTGGAATAGAGTTTATGATGTGCCATTCACCATCTTCACATTTGATGTTACCATTCTCTTGTAACATATACCGATGATTGCATCTATAATTTCCTATAAAAGCACTTGCGTATGAATACCGTGAATGTACAAAATAACCATGGTCAAGTTTTGGTGGTAGTGAGCATGGCCCTGTGGAAACAGTTTGGTTAATTAGTACTCATTTAATTGCTGGTTTGCAATTGACATTTACTTGAAAAAGAAAATTATTATTTGATTTCAAAATAGACTCAGCAACGATATACCAAAAATTATGATACTTGAAAGGTTTCACAAATCTGATCACAAATTTTATCTGATGTTAATATTTAAATGAATTTCTGGTTTAATAATTTATTGTTGTCATCTCGAGAGATTAATAATAATCTACAACCTGAGGAAATTCATAAAAGCATTTTCAAACCATTAAAATTTTAAAGAATTATAGTGTATTTTGGACCAGTTGATTTATCCTTAAGTAATTAATGAGCATAATCAGAACACCAACATGACTTTGTAGGTCTTGTAACTTGATTGTGGATCAGAAAGGTGTACAAAAATGGACAGAATCTGTTGACACAGAATGGAAGGGGAGCAGTATCCAGACAGTTTGAGAAAATTACAACCACACCTTGCAAGGATGTAAGAGTCCAGAGATGAGTTATTGTTACTGATAGTAAATGGAATAATTGGCCTCCCAGAGAACAAGGATTTGCAGACACTGATTTTATTCATCAATCTTAATATGTTTGCTAAGACAAAAGGACAGAAAAATGTCAGCCATGGCTTCTTGAGTTGGGAAGCTGTCCAAAGTGGGAAAAAGGGAAAGCATAATATGGTATTGCAAGGGTTTCGATAATTAGGGGGTCAGCTAGTATCTTTGATAAGCAGGATTGACAGTCTCATGTCATATGCTTCATAACAACCACCAATGTGAGAGACTTCTTGAATGGACGTGAAAAAAATATTGCTGAAGTAAATAAAGGATCCAAACATTGGGTCCATGTTGGTGGTAACAACTTGGGAAGCATAGGAAAGAAGTGCTATTTGGAGAGTGGCAGGTAGCAGAAGCTTAATCAATGGACCAGATCTCAACATTATTGTTTCAGAGATAGCAGGAACTGCAGATGCTGCAGAATCTGAGATAACATGGTGTAGAGTAGGATGAACACCCTTCTTCAGAAGGGTGTAGGCCCGAAACTTCAGCTTTCCTGCTCCTCTGATGCTGCTTGGCCTGCTGTGTTCATCCAGCTCTACACCTTGTTATCTCAACATTATTGTCTTTGAATTATTACCTGAGCCTCATACAAATTAGCACAGGGTAAAATAAGATTAGAGAAGGCAACATTTCTTTTTATTCATTCGCAAGATGAGGGCATCACTGGCTAGGCCAGCATTTATTGCTCATCAGAGAGGACAAATAAGAGTCAACTACATTGCTATGGGTCTGGAGACACATGTAGGCCAGACCAGATAAGAATGGCAACTTTCTTCCCTAAAGGACATTAGTGAACCAAAGTGGGGTTTTCTGGTCATCATTAAACTCTTAATTCCAGATTTTTAGTAAATTCCACCATCTGCCATTGAGTACAAAAACCAAAACATCTGGGAAGGGAAGAGTTTTGAGAAGTTCTCTCTCTCTCTGCATTGTCATTCCCACCCTGAGTCCATTTGCATTCTGTACATTTTCACAAAAAAAGGTCCTTTTACCCATGACACCAACAGAAGAATGATGACCATGTTATAGCAAAAAATAGAAAACAATCCAAAAAAGCTAATACTGGGATTGTAAATTTTATTTTAATTCAACAAGATACATTTTGCTACATTTCATATCTATTCGAAAGACCTTTTTTTAGAACTATTCGATGATGTAATTGCTTTGAGGAAAATTATAGTTTCATTTTATGGTTTGCTTTAAACTAAGTTAAATGAATAAAGAGAACTTACCTGGACATTTTACATGTGGGTCCCAGCCATTTAGAGTACACGTAGATTGTTCTCGGCGGTTGGAATTTCTGCAAATGTAAGTTATTCTTCTCGAAAGACCGAATGACCAAGCATAGGATGGTTCGAAAACTGCGTCGATGTTTGGTAACGGACATCTAATTGCTGAGAAAGGTAAATTGACACCAAAGTGCAGACATGATATTGATAGCATTACAAGCTGACCAAGGCTCAGTTTATGAAATATTATAAAGTAATGCTTCTAACCTATTAATGAAATTAAAAAAGCAAAGTTAAAGAACTAGAATATTCAAATTTTCCTTACAAATGCTGCAATGTCTAAACAATTAGAGTACATGGAACAATGGAGGCAAACTGATCCACTGAAGTTGCTGCATGGTTATAATTAGCCATGCAAGCTCTGTTTTTCTCTCTGAAAATTATGTTTTTGGTGAAATTTGTTCTGTGTTCTCACTTATTTTAACTAAATATTTTTTTCTCCATGTTCTTTTTCAGCAAGCCAGAACAAATCCTAAGATTGCATTGCCTTTTTCAATGAAGAGATTTCTTATCTGATCTGTGTAGCTGATCCATTATTTGTAACACTTCATTCAGATCACTATTATGATCAGGTGAGCAGAGGTGGAATCACACTGTTCATTTCCAATCTCTTGTTGGTTGGAACAGGTCTTTTAAAAAAGGAAGTGCTTGCCAAGTCAGTGAGTATTTAGCTCACTGAGTGTTTCACTGCTGTGATTGTATAAAACAGTCACAGACATGTTTCCTTGAGACTTTTTTGATAAGAAAAGAGAACAGTATTTATCGTGCTTAATCCAATCTGTATAAAATTATCATAGTTAAACAGTACACGCTGCTTTCATTGTGTGATGTTGTTCATAGAACATTAATAGGCAGAATTATTTGTTATGCTTTTAATAATTGAGGATAGATTAGAAACCAAAAATTCAATTACCTACACATCTTGGATTTGGATTCCATCCAGATGCTTCACATATTACTGATTTTGAGTCAGAAGGTTTGTAGCCTCTATCACAGGTATAGTCTACTTTTTCACCATGGGAAAACATCCACTTAGCTGTTTGGAAATTACCGTGGTCTATTGGCATGATCGTACATACTATTGCTGAAAAACAAAATGATAGGTTTTGATACAGCGAACAATAGTAATAACTCCATAATTACTAACTTCATGCTATCTACATAGCAAAGTAATTATTGCGAAAGATGTAAAGGTGATATATGCACTACCCGAGCTAAGGAAAATTAGTGAAACATTAAGTTCACTTACTAAATATTTTAATTAATATCATAAGATAGTCTTGGTTTTCTTTTGGAGAACTTATGCCAGGAAGGGGGAGGAAAGTATAAGCAGAACAGTGCAGCATAAATTAGAATCAGTGAGAGTAATGGAAGTACAAAGTCAAAGCTTAGGGCTCTTTCTGTGAATGCATTTGAAACAACATAGATGATATAGAATAACTGAATATGACTCAATAGTTGTTATGGAGATGTGGTTACAGGGTGTCCAAGATTGTGAGCTCAATGTTAAAGGATATTTGACATTTGGAAGACTAGTCAAAAAGGAAAAGGAGGTGGCTTTTTCAATAAAGGTGTCAGTGCAGATGTGAGCAGTGATTCAGGTGTAATAGATTGCGATGTGGAACAGTTTGGGTGGAGAAAAGGAACTGCTGCAGAAAGAAGTTTGAGGTGGGAGTTGTCTATAGGTCCCCAAAGAATTCCCTCACTATAGAACAAGGTATAAATGAAGGTGAGAAATAATGGAAATGTGCAACAAGGGTGCTAAAATTGTCATGGGTGATTTTAATCTGCATATTGGCAGATTGAAAACTATTGGCAGATATTAGCAGAAAACAAAAGCAGGGATGCACTTCTGAGACTTTATAAGCCTCTGGTCAGACCATATGTAGAATATTGCCTGCAATTTTGGACCTCATACCTCAGGAAGGATGTACTGGCCCTGGAGTGGGTCCAGAGGAGGTTCACGGGAATGATCCCATATGAGGATCATTTGAGTACTCTGGGTCTATACTCAATGGAGTTTAGAAGGCTGAGGGTGGATCTAATTGAAATTTACGAAATACTGAACGGCTGAGATAGAGTGGATGTTGAAAAGATGTTCCGTTAGCAGGAGAGACTAGGGCCTGAGGGCACAGCCTTAGAGTAAACAGAAGACCCTTTAGAACTAAGATGAGGAGAAACTTCTTCAGCCAGAGAGTGGTGAATCTATGGAACCAGGCCATTGAGTATATTTAAGACAAAGATAGATAGGCTCTTGATTGTCAAGGGGATTGAAGGATACGGGGACAAAGTGGGAGAATGGGGTTGAGAAACTTATCAGCCATGATTGAATGGCAGAGCAGACTTCATGGGCCGAATGGCCTAATTTCTGCTCATATGTCTTATGTCTTATGGCTGGACAAACCAAATGGGCAAGTGTAACATGGAGAACAAATTTGTAGAGTGCATCGCAGATTGTTTCTTATCACAGTACATTGCAGAACCTACCCAGGAACAGGCTATTTTAGACCTAGAGATTTGTAATGAGGTAGGATTAATAAGAAAGCTTGTAGTTAAGGATCCTTTAGGGGGTGACAATCATAGTAAGGTAGAATTTCAAATTCAGTTTGAAAGAGTGAAAGAGATAGAATGAGAGAGAGAGACAGATAGAGCAATTCAGGTCTCAAACCAGTATCCTCAACTTCAGTAAGAACAATTACAGAGGTATGAAGGAAGAATCTAAAGACTGCTGGGAAAATAGAGAAATAGGAAAATCAATGCTTGTGCTTTGCCAGATAGGCAGCTATTTCATAACACTCAATGATGATTTATTATGGTCAAAAAGAAGGAATTTAATGAGAAGGATGATGGTTAACAAAGGTGTTCAAGGAAAGTACCCAATTGAAAACTAAAATATAGAAAGCAGCAAAAGCTAGTATTGGCCAGAGGGTTTGGGAATTTTTCAGAAACCAGCAACAGATGACTAAAAATCTAATAAAATGGGAGAAAATTGACTGTGAAAGTAATTTGGCAAGAAATAAAAACTAAAAGCAAGAGCTTTGAAGGGTAAAAAAAGAGAGTAGTAAAAGTAGGTGTGGATCCCTTGGAGGATGTGACTAGAGAATTAAGAATCGTGAACTGGGAAATGGCAGCTAATTTAAACCAATATTTTGCTTTGGTCTTCATGGCAGAGGAGTGATATGAGGCATAGGAAGAGATGCTGAATCATGCCTTGTCTGATGTTCTGAAGTACTATTTCCTGGCACATTAGTCTTCTAAAGCGACAGTTCACTAACAACCTTTAGGGAATGAAATCTGCCTTCCTCAGATATTCTGGCCCAAAAGTGACAGCAATGTGGATATCTCTTCACTACCCTCTGAAATGGCCCAGCAAACAATATAGTTCACAGGCAATACAGTGTGGTGCTGGAGGAACACAGAAGGTCAGGCAGCATCAGAGGAGCAGGAAAGTCAACGTTTCAGGTCGGGATGCTCCTCTGATGCTGCCTGACCTGCTGTGTTCCTCCAGTGCCACACTGTATTAACTCTGACTCCAGCATCTGCAGTCCTTGCTGTCTCTGGGTTGACAGGCAATTAGGGACGGAAAACAAATGTTGGCTCTGCTAGTGATACACACATCCCACAAAAGAGTAAAAAAAGTGTAACTTTTCAGCAACTGATGAAGACACAGAACAATGTCAGCTCTGAAGGCAATATTGAAGGTAGATTTAAGCATACCCCTTTATTTAAAGCCAAGGTAACTGGAGGCAGCAAGAACAAGAAAAATTTAAAAATCTCAGCAGGTCAGGTAGCTTTCCACATGCTACATTGAGTTTAATCTTTGCCTCCACCTCATTCCTTCAGTTCATTTTTCTTCCCCTTTCTATGTTTTGCTGGATTGGTCTTCATCTTGCACCTTTCTTTATGATGCATTTGTGCGTAGCAATTTGCAAATCATCTGGGCACATCCTTTGCGATTTCCATTAATATGCTTTTTGTCTGTTGCATCATGAAATTCTTTGTTACTTCATCTTCCTTGCTGTCATCCATATCAGAGATCTACGCCTTTGCCTTTTCTGCCCACTCTACCCTCCCACTGCCTTAACCCTTACATTTCAATCTTTCTCAGTCCTGGTGAAAAGTTCCAAGTCTACGTCATTGACTTTAAAGTGTTTTTCTCCACAGAAAGTGCCTGATCTGTAGAGTTATTCAAGCTTTTCTTTAAATTTCAGATTCCAGTACTGGCTGATTTTGCTTTACTAAAACTTATCTAGCATATTTTTCTGATCAACCTGTTCAGAGATATTATTACACACCTCTAAAATCACCTTAAGAGGAGGTGATGGCGAGTGGTGTTATTGCTGGACTGTTAATCCAGAGACCCAAATAATGTTCTGGGGACCTGGGTTCAAATCCCGCCACAGCAGATGGTGGAATTTGAATTCAATAAATATCTGGAATTAAGAGTCTAATCATGACTATGAATCAATTGTCGATTGTCAGGAAAAACCCATCTGGTTCACTAATGTCCTTTAGGGAAGAAAACTGCCATCCTTACCTGGTCTGGCCTACATGTGACTCCAGACCCTCAGCAATGTGGTTGACTCATAACTGCCCTCTGGGCAATTAGAGATGGACAATAAATGCTGCCTAGCCAGCAGCACCCTCATCCCATGAATGAATAAAGATAAAGGACCTCTGAAGCAGGTGGGACTTGAACCTGGGCCTCCTGGTCCAAGAGTAGGGGCAATACCTCTGTACTGCAAGAGTGCCCTAGTATTTTGCTTTTATAACAGGAAAATATATTGCAATCATATTTTGCTACAATCAGAAACAAGATGCAATATATAGTACTGTTCAAAAGAACTTCTCAGCTAATAAGATAATTGAAATAATTTACTATTGACATAAAATTATCAGCTTACGTGTGCAAGTTGGTAGTGGATTCCATCCATATTTACTGCATGTAGTTTCTTGAATGTTTTCAGGTCTATAATTGCGATTGCATTGATATTTTAGTTTTTGAGAATATTTGTAAATCCGTTCGTTGCTAATCACATTCCCATTCTCTATAACTGGTTCCGTACATCTAAATTCTGAAAGGGAAAATTACTGAAATCATTTTGACCACATTTTCAAAGTAACTGGAAGTGTATTTTTAACAATGGTTAAATACAATCTTAGCTATTTATGAAAATAGATCCCTGGAGCCCTGGGCCCACCAACGGCCCAGCCACTATCTGTTTGGTTTATTTAGCCTTCCCGAAAAGATGCACTGGGGGTCTTCTGCCCACTTTTCAGCCAATAAGTGAGGCCCCCATTGCTTCTGAAGAATACTTATCCCAGTGTTGTCAACTGCAGCTTCTGGCAGTGCTGCAATCTGATCCAAAGAGAAGGGTTAATGCAGATTTCTGCCCAAAATCATGAAATGTAATCAGAAGAATTTCGAATGAAAAACACTTAGGAAAACTTTATGTACAGTATGGATATTAAGCATTACCTTTGCATTTAGGAACTGGATGACTCCATGTTCCATTCCCTAAACAATAAATTTCTTTGACACCTTCAATGTCCAGTTCTGGTGAATTACACTCGAATTGCAGGACAGAGCCAAAAGGAAAATTTTGTTCAAGGTCAAATCGCCCTGATCTAATGATCTTTCCATTTTCTGGTTCTTCCGCTGGGGAACAGGTCACAACTGCAAAACAGATTGAACATAATTACTTTAACATGGAATGTGCAACATTTCATATTGATGTGTGTATTGCTTGCCAGTTTCATCTGCAATATTAGAAAACTAACTCTTTTCTAACAGATAACAAGGTGCAGGGCTGGATGAACACAGCAGGCCAAGCAGCATCATAGGAGCAGAGAGGCTGACGTTTCGGGCCTAGACCCTTCATCAGAAAAGGGGGAGGGGAAGGGGGTTTTGAAATAAATAGGGAGAGAGTGGGAGGCGGATAGAAGAGGGATAGAGGAGAGGATAGGTGGAGAGGAAACAAACAGGTCGAAGAGGCGGGGATGGAGCCAGGAAAGGTGAGTGTAGGTGGGGAGTTAGGAAGGGGATAGGTCAGTCCAGGGAGGACGGACAGGTCAAGGGGGCAGGATGAGGTTGGTCGGTAGGAGATGGAGGTGCGGCTTGAGGTGGGAGGAGGGGATAGGTGGGAGGAAGAACAGGTTAGGGAGGCAGGGACGAGTTGGACTGGTTTTGGGATGCGGTGGGGGGAGGGGAGATTTTGAAACTTGTGAAATCCACATTGATACCATTGGGCTGCAGGGTTCCCAAGCGGAATATGAGTTGCTGTTCCTGCAACCTTCGGGTGGCATCGTTGTGGCACTTCAGGAGGCCCAGGATGGACATGTCGTCTGAGGAATGGGAGGGGGAGTTGAAATGGTTCGCGACTGGGAGGTGCAGTTGTTTGTTGCGAACCGAGCGTAAGTGTTCTGCAAAGCGGTCCCCGAGTCTCCGCTTGGTTTCCCCGATGTAGAGGAAGCCACACCGGGTACAGCGGATGCAGTATACCACATTGGCAGATGTGCAGGTGAATATCTGCTTGATGTGGAAAGTCTTCTTGGGGCCTGGGATGGGGGTGAGGGAGGAGGTATGGGGGCAGGTGTAGCACTTCCTGCGGTTGCAGGGAAAAGTGCCGGGTGTGGTGGAGCTGGAGGGGAGTGTGGAGCGGACAAGGGAGTCACGGAGAGAGTTGTCCCTCCGGAAAGCAGATAAGGGTGGGGAGGGAAAGATGTCTTTGGTGGTGGGGTCGGATTGCAGATGGCGGAAGTGTCGGAGGATGATGCGTTGGATCCGGAGGTTGGTGGGGTGGTACGTGAGGACGAGGGGGATTCTTTTTTGGTTTTTATTGCGTGGACGGGGTGTGAGGGATGAGGTGCGGGAGATTTTTCTAACACCACAGATCTTCTGATTTAGTAGTAAAACCACCAGGAGTGACACAAAGGGTATCTTTTACTATTTTGCTACCTGAACAGTAACCTGGCAACATGGATTATTTACCCTTTAGAGAGCCTATATCGATAATCAGGCAGCTTCTATAGTAGACAGGTGATCTACTCTGCGGTATTACTATTCAGAAAATGGAAGTGATAACTAATCCTGAATCACACCATCTAGGACTTGAATGATGGAATATACTTCTCTCAAAGGGTCACGAATCTGTGGAATTAACTATGCCAGAGTAGATGAGTGTCAGGACATTGAATAAATTTAAGAAGGAGGTAGACAGATTTTTAATTAGTAGTGGGTTTAAGAATTATGAAGAGAGTACAGGAAAGTGGAATTGAAGCCAAGATGAAATGAACCAATATGAGCAACTATTGTATTAAATGGTGGAGCACGCTTAAGGCGCTGAATTGCCTACTCCTGCCCGAAGTTCTCATGTTCTTATGTAGTAATGAGACTCTTTTCCAGAAGGCTGTGATAAGTCCAAAAAAAATACATAATGCTTACCACAAAATTGAGAAGAGTCATGCATGGGTTTCAGTGTCACTGCAATGACAGGTACTTAGGTTTTATGTCTCAACAAGTCGTTGACCAAGTCAAGCAACATGTTCCACTGGCTGTTTATAATAAGCAGAATATAGACCCTGCTCAAAAAGGCTGCACTTGTAAAATCCAAAATAAAATATCTATTGTTTTCTGTGGTTTTGCAATTGAACAGCACCTGCTGAACAATTCTTAATGAACTAACAGCTACTCTAACAATCAATTTAAGATAATCAGCCAAATTCATAATATGACTCAGTTACACTTGCTAGGAAAGTCATACGTGTGTGTCTCTATAAAAAGGGATATATAGAAACATTGCATCTTTTTGAATTAGCCAGAAGCATGCATACCCTATTGTTCCCTGCTGCTTTCTCCATGGCAATGCCTCAATCAAAGCCAACTTGCCAAATGATCAGTATCCTTTTCTCTTGTCATGTAATTTGTTTTGAGTTTTTTGAAATCTGGCATTCTTACATTTCTCCTGTTCAGTGTAAAGCAATATTGTTGGCCACATGTCTCTCCAGCAATGTTCACATTCTGTACTCCCAAGTGACTGTTGGAAATTTAATAAAGATTCTCTGCAAGAACAGAGTCCATGGAATCCGGCAAGAGTATGTAGCCTTGATGAAGCTGAGTACATAGGCTGTACATTTAGTATTTTGAGGATGGAGGCATGAGGACTATCAGAAAGAGTGCTGATGAAACTCAGCCTTGATGTTTCCAATGCAGACAGAGGGTTACACAGGATGTAATGGGTGAGGTATAAAAAGTGGTCAAATTACGTAGAGACTGAATAAATTAAGCTTGGGTTTGAGCAGTGGATTAAGTTCCCTGTCTCTGCATTGAATCTGAGGGTGTTAACTAGAACAAGTGACACTTAAGTGTCAAAGGCGCTTCCTCTTTTGTGATAAAACAGATGATTTTGCACGCACTGATATTAAACTGGAAGAAGCTATAATTCATCTATTTTTGGTGAGGCAATTGGAAAAAGCAGTGACAGTCATACCACTAGTAGATGAGAGGTGTGTAGAGTGCTAGAGGTGCACATATGAAATCTGACCCCATGTTTCCAGTGGTCCCATTAAAGGGGAGGGCCTCAGCAAAGTGATGATATGAGTAAAGCACAAACAATGATTTAATTAAATGCAGTGTTGATAATACAATGGGTGAATGTAGAACAAGACAGAGCAGTGCTGTAATTGAAAGTTTGAAAGGAAAGACAAATGAGACTATAACGAGCCGAAATACCAATCATGCCATTATTGGTTCTGTGCTGTGACTGATTACAGATTTCAAACAAGAACAATGAAGAGCATAATTTGAATGCAATGATCATTCAGGACTTTAAAAAGGAAAAGGTGACGGTTTAACAGATTGGGAGTGTCTTTAGTGATGTCGGCTGTTATGAAAGTTGTATGGTATAAAGCTGAAAGACTAGGGCACATTTTGTAGCGAATATGAAACGAGGGATAAGGTTGTATGATGAAGAACTTACAGCAGAAGAATATGTTTCATGAATTAGACAGGTATAATAAAGATGGTAAGGCAGATGGATACAAAATGTATTAACTAAGAGATATTCTGTGATTAGGTTTAAGGACAATGGGGAAGGGAAAAGATGATTGCTCAGAAATCACACAGAAACATTCCATATGCTGCTCACAACTGACACTCAAACTGGAGAACAAGTATCTCATGGGAAATAATTTGTCTACTTTTTAAAGTTTTGAACAAGAGGAATTTAGGCTGATTCTGCTCTCAGTTTGGTCTTGAAACATTGAATGGTTAATTATGGATCAAATCCTACTTTTTGACAAAATGCAAGTTATGTTAAGTTTTTGGGAGGGATCTCAAAATGAAGTCTAATGAGATTTCTCACCGTACCTCACCAAACTCACATCATTTACAACCTACCTCACCCTATGGCATCCCTCATGTCTGAGTCCATCCCTATCCTATCACTTGCTGTTGCTGGAACAATTTGTCACTTAACAGACACTGCCAAAGATCAGCATCCCTTGCACATGTGCTATCTTTAAAAGCCCATTGTGCACCCAGACTAGAGCTGTCAGTCTGGAGTTGCCCTTCGTAAGTCCTGACATTTTCCTGGTCATGGCAAAGAAGGTAAATTGGCACCCCATTTTATGGACAAGGAGATGGATATCCCATTGGGCAAATGTGGTACATTCTCTTCCCTTGGGACCAGTAGTAGCAGTTTGGATATCAGACCAGCTTGGACCTAGGTTGCCACCTGGGTCAGTGCAGTCTCAGTCATCTGGTGGAATGCCCAGCATTTTAGGAAGATGATCAATAAACTTTTTCGGTCTGCCAGCATAAGGGCCATCATCTCCTCTTTGATACCTCATTTACTCTACCTCTGTTATTGTACCCACCTCTCACCCAGGCAGATGCTCTACTTTCACTAATACCTGGAGCATCTTCCCCATTTGCTCTCACTCATCCCAACCCCTTACACCACTAGCCCTGCCTGCTGTCTGTGCTGCCTATCCACTCATCCAGAGAACCTCCCACATGCACCAAAAGACTATAAGACCATAAGACATAGGAGCAGAAATTAAGCTGTTTTGCCCGAGTCTGCTCCACCATTCAAAATTGGCTGATATGTTTCTCAATCCCATTCTCCCACCTTCTCCCCGTAACCTTTGATCCCATTAACAATCAAGAACCTATCTATCTCTGTCTTAAATATACGCAATGACCTGTCCCCCAGAGCCTTCTGTGGCAATGAATTCCATAGATTCATCAGTCTCTCGCTGAAGAAGCGTGAAAGTTTCCTCATAGCATAGCAAAATGTATAAAAGACGCAGCGAATTGCTCCCGATGTCAAGATAGGCCTCACTGGACTTCTTATCCAGTTCTACTACAAATCTCCGCCATATGTGTTTCATTATTATCTAAAAATGATGTTTAACAAATACAAAATGATAAAGCTTTTTAAATACTTTACCTTCGCAATATGGAACCTGACCACTCCATCCATCAACTTCACAAATACGGTAATTCTTTGTACCCACCATCCTATATCTTTAAAAGGAAGCAGTATAAAAATGCTAATTATTTTCTTTGGCATGAAGGAAGAACTTGCATTTATGTATACACTTCTAAAGAGCACAGGACATAATTAAGCAGTTTACAGCCAAAGAAATACATTTGTTTTAAAGTGCAGTCACTGTTTTAATGCAGGGAAACTGGCAGCCAAGTATAACATACTACTACAAACAATAATGTGATGATGACCATGTGATATGAGTTGAGAACTAGGTATAGCTAGGACATTGCGGATAATTCCACCAGTCTTTTTCAAAATAGTGCCGTGGGATCCTTTACTTCTACCTAGCAGAGAAATGGAGCCTCTGTCAAACATTTCATCCGAAAGATGGCATTCGACAGTGCAGTTCTCCTCAGGACTGAACTAAATCATTAGCATTGCCTTTTGTGATTAAACCTTGGAGTAGGTCTTGCATCCAGACCGTTGTGACTCAGAGGGCAAAGTGCTACCAGTTGAGCTGCAGCTGGTACCGTGAAAGTGATAAGTGCAGACAAGGGCAGAGAGCTGCAAAGGGGGCAAAATAAGAACTCAATTTTGGTGGGAGGTGCAAGGTGCACTGTAGCAAACCAAAACAAAGTTGCTGGAGAAGTTCAGCAGGTCTGGCAGCATCTGTGAGGAAAAAAATCAGTGTTAACGTTTCAGGTCCGGTGACCCTTCCTCAGAACTGTAGCAAAGGCTCTGATATGTGATGTTTGGCATTGAATGCAAGATGGTCATTAATTCACTTGGTGTTTTGTTTCTCCTCATTTCATTCAATTGAATTTAATTCCAAATACAATGAAATACCCTGGAGTGCAGACATTCAATGTTTTACAAATGTCTCTGCCCGTCTTAGAATATTGAAACCAATGCTTCTTCCCCTACCTATATGGGTACATTAATTTGATTTATTTATTAATACTTAAGCCTGAAGCAACTGAACATTTTTCACTTTCTCTTTATTTGATTTATCAATAAGGAATGATAGCTTACATGAATCAAACCAGTTGAGTGAAAGGATCATATTGTGTCTCCACAAACTGGCAGTACTAATGGCAGATATTTTGTGGCAGATTTTGAACAGTACTAATGCTCTCCCTAACCCCTACCCCCTAACCCCTTCATCTATGGTATTTCGAATCTGAAGGGGCTTAAGTTGCTAAATACCTGAAAATATGAACAGACATGCATTACATGAATACCAGTGGTGGTTCAGTGTCATCCAGGAGGTGCACCAAATTCATGATGCCAACAAATTCTAATGATGTCTGCAAGCCGGCATCTCTATCTGCACTCTTCCTTGGCTGAACACTTAGTTTAATACACTTCTAGAACATCAGTGATCTCTCTAGAACTCACCATCACATGTGTTCCATTAGAATTACAAATTATATATTACATTATTATATATTACAAATTATATTTTTATTGTAATATAGGTTTTGTACATAGGGGGCATAGGTAATATGAACTGCAGTAAGTTATTTAGCCTGTCAAGTTCTGCCATTCAACTAGACCCTAACTGAATTTCTACTCCAAACCTATCTTCAAATAATTCTTAAAAACATCCAAGCAAAACTTGTTAGAAGGTGAACAGAAAATCGACAACAACTGGACTGGAATTAATGCTACCAAAACTTTGTGCATACATATGTCCCATGTCAGGATGCGCCTTCAGCTAAAAGTCACTGTGTTGGACAAAAATATGAAATCCATAATTAAAACTTCAAAACGAGGGTGAAACTTTCAGGCAGAAAGTTTACTATTGTATTAAAAAAAAAGGCTGTTTGCTGGATACATTATTGTGAAACATATGATTATATATTCCTTTTAAAATTAAAACCTAATATTAGAATTGCTACTGAGGGGAAGAAAATGATAAGTTTCTTTTCAAGAAGTGCCAGTACTAATTTGGTTATTGTACAGACCATGCTGAAAATGTTTCCCTGTCATGAACAATGAAATATGGAGTTTTCATTATTGTTTTTTACATAGGGTTTCCGATTATGAACATTAAGATAAGTCACTTCCATAACATATGTTGATGTAAAAAGTATTACTTGAAGTTCTGCCACAGGATGCTAGACTTAGTGGACTATATGTAAAATGTTACATAATATGATCAGAGATAATACAAGTAAATATATAAAAGCACCAGGAAAATTCTGCTCAATAGAAGATCTAGTGGATTTATTGTAGAAATACTTTTTTTACTGATTGCGCCCAAGATAAATGATTAAAGTGGTGTATCTATGTCAAGTGGAGTGTTGATTAGCTCAGTTGGCTGGAGAGCTAGTTTAGGATGGAGACTGATGCCAACAGTGTTGGTTCAATTCCTGAACCATCTGAGGTTACTCTGAAGGCCCTACCTTCTCAACCTCTTCCCTTGCCTGAGTTTGGTGGCCCTTAAGTTAAACCTGCACCAATCATTTTTCTCTAATGAGGTCTGGTAGGACTATGACTACTTTACATGTCAAGTGTAGCTGTTTTTTCTCCAGGCACTAATAGAAATAGATTAAATATAATGCATCTCTTACCCTTCATCGCATGTGTATTTAATGCGTGCACCAAAAACCAGGTCATCACCTTCTACCAGCTGAAATGTTCCATGTAGAATATCTCCAGGACTTCCACATGGCTTTACTGATATTGAAGTGGGTTGAAATAGCATTAAAAATTAATTTATGGCTTTAGCAATAAAACATGAACATTGATGCTTATTGACTAATATCATGAATGACTGGTTACAAAAATAATTCATATTTCACCATTGCTTTCTACTATCTGACTTAACTAACTATAAAATGAACAAAGATACATATTATGCCATCTGCAACATGGTAGATGATTTCCTAAGATCTGTTAAATAATTGGATATTTTAAAATAATCAGGTAACTTTGAATATCATTGTTATCTATCGCGAAATTGTTAGGTTAGCCATACAATATTGCGCTTTATTACTCATCGTTATTGTGTTGATAGTATGGACTGGTTACCCACAGCTTTCTTTTTTTATTCATTGAATATTTCAATGGTTGAATGTGTTGTGGACCAGATCAGACCCCTCAAAATATTTTAATAAGGCAGCCTAGATCCTGACATTTTCTTATTTTAAAGGTAGATGTGAAGTGCGTGTTCCAGATGCAGTGCGACTAGTCAAACTACTCGTGAGATATAAGGTGCTAAAGGGGATTGACAAAGTAGACATACAGTGAATGTATCCCCTTATGGGGCAATCTAGAAAGGGGTGGGGCTGGTGAAGGTAGGTGGGATGGTGATAGGTGAGTGCAGGTAGGGAGTGGTGGGGATTGGTCAGTGGGATGGGAGGGGCAGATAGGTGGGAGAGAAGATGGTTGTGTCAGGTCAAGGAGGCGGGGATGAGAGGGAGGGTTGGACATGGGATGAGGCCGGGGGTCGGGAGATTTTAAAACTGGTGAATTCCATGTTTAGGCCATCAAGCTGTAGGCTCCTGAGATGGAATATGAGGTGTTGCTCCTCCAGTTTGTGGGAGGTGTCATTGTGACACTGGAGAAGGCCCAGAATGGATATGTCACCCAGGGAGTGAGAGAGGGAGTTAAAATGGTTGGCAACCGGAAGGTGTTGTCATTTATTGCGTATAGAGCGCAGATGCTCTACGAAACGGTCTCTGAGTCTACGCTTGGTCTCACTGATGTAGAGGAGGCCACAACGGGAGAAATGGATACAATAGACCAAGTTGATGGATGTGCAGGTGAATCCCTGTCTGATATGAAAGGTTTGTTTTGTGCCTTGAATGGAGATGAGGGGGGAGGTGTAGGGGCAGGTGTAGCACGTCCAGTGGTTGAGGGAAAGGTGTTGGGGTGGTGTTGTTAGTGGGGAGTGTGGAGTAGACAAGGGAATCGTGGCCAAAGCAGTCCCTACGAAAGGCAGATAGGGGTGGGGAGGGAAATATATCTTTGGTTGTGGGATCAGATATAGGTGGCGGAAGTGGCGGAGAATGATACATTGCATGCGGAGGATGGTGGTGTGATATGTGAGGTCAAGGGGGAATCCTGTCTTTATTTTTGTTTGGTGGGAGTGGGTGTGAGGGCAGAAGTGCAGGAAATGCAAGAGATGCAGTTGAGGGCATTTTTGATCACCAGAGGGGGGAAGTTATGGTCTTTGAAATAGGAGGACATCTGGGATGTATGGGAGTGGAATGCTCCATCTTGGGAGCAGACACGGCAGAGATGGTGGAATTGGGAGCAGGGGATCATATTCTTGCAGGAGGGTGGTGAGAGGAGGTGTAATCTAGGTATCTGTGGGAGTCGGTGGGTTTGAAATACACGTTGGTGCTGAGATGATTACCAGATTTGGAGTCGGAGAGGTCCAGGAAGGAGAGGGAGGTATCAGAGACGGTCCAGGTGAATTTGAGGTTGGGGTGAAAGGTGTTAGTAAAGTTGATGAGCTGTTCAAGCTCCTTGTGGGAGCACAAGGCAGCGCCGATACAGTCATCAATGTAGTGGAGGAAGAGGTGGGGGATAGTGCCAGTGTAACAGTGGAAAGGGGACTGTTCCATTTATTCCTGATCTTTGTTTCCTGACTACCAACCGGTTTCTTTTATCCATTTCAATACACTATCCCCAATCCATTTGTTTTAATTTTACACACTAATTCTTAAGTAGGACTTTGTCAAAAGCCTTCTGAAAGTTCAAATAAACCCCCTCCACTGGCTCATCCATATCAACTCTACAAGTTACATTCTCGAAGATTTTGTCAAGTATGATTTCCCTTTCATAAATCTATGCTGACTCTGTCTGATCCTGCCTCTGTTTTCCAATGCTCAGCTGTTAATTCTTTTCTAATGGACCACCCATTACCCCATTATGGATATCAGACTGGCTGGTCTATAATTCTTGGTTTTCTCCCTGCCTCCCTTCTAAACAGAGGGGTTACATTTGCTGCCCTCCAATCTGTAGGACCAGTTCCCAACTCCATAGAACTTTCAAAGATGACCTCCCATGCATCCACTATTTGTCAGGCCACTTTCTTAAATACTCTGGGATGTCAGTTATCAGGGCATGGGGCCTTCAAACCCGTCAATTTCTCCAACACCATTTCCCTACTAATACTGATTTCCTTCAGTTCCTGCCTCTCACTAAACCCTGTATTTCCCAACAGTTCTGGTGTGTTATTTGTGTCCTCCTTTGTAAACACAGAACCAAAGTAAGCATTTAGTTGGTCAGCCATTTCCTTGCTCCCCATTATAAATTCCCCTGTAATGGACTGTAAGGGACCTACATATGTCCTCACCAATCTTTTTCTCTTCACATAGCAATAGAAACTTTTACGATCAGCTTTTACATTCCCTGTAAGCTTACTCTTGTACTTCATTTTCACTTTCTTAATCAATCTAAACTGCTCCTACTTCTTAGGTCAGCAGCTTTATACTGAACTCTTTCCATGCCTCTTCCTTCGATCTCCGAGACTCAGAAATTGGGATGAACAGGTGGACCACAGTAAAAGATCAGGTTATCGTTTCAAAAGCAAAAATGGAAATCAACATCTGTTTTGACAATTCAGCTTGCTTTTTGCCAATGAAAATAAGCTATATAATTTCCTTAATGAATTATCCCTCTTACACCTAAAATCATTCTGGTGATAATTCAGACTATCAACACACTATCTTGAAATTGGGTAAATAAGCCTGTATGTCCTACACCAGAATTGCTCTCAGTAACATTTGGATGTTAACCTATCTATATGTCATGTTTGATTATTTGCTTTACGTTCTGAAGAATGCTTGGAAGGCTAAGACTTTTGCAAATTGATTCCTGATACTGACTGAAAACTGGCTTCCAGTGTACAGACACAGGGACTCTCAGATTGCTGAGCATTCAACTGGCATTGAGCTGATAGGCAGTTTGCTTCATGGTGAGAGAGATTCTCATTCTCCCAAGTGCTAAGTCTGAACAGGCAGCAGTAACCATACTGTATAAAGTGAAAGAATCAGTTTTCAGCTGAACCGCATCTTTACCTTATATCATTCATTCCAAATGTAATTAAAGGACTTGGGATACATCTTTGTATAAAATAACGGAAAAGGTTCCCTCCTGTTTATTACATCTTCTGTCACGCTTTGCTTTTTGAGCTATTTATAAAAAGATTCCTTTTGTGATGTCTGCCAGATTGCATTGGCGGACATTTAGAATTACACAAAAATCCTCAGTCCTAACTTTTAGAATGTCATAATCCATTTCAACAAAGTTTACTTAAATGATAAACTATGAGAACTGCTACTACATCTGGTATTTAAAGGTTTTTTATTTGAAAAAAGTGGATTGAAATTAAGTGATGTAGAAAAGGCACTAATGCAGATACACTTACATTTGCAATACAATTGTGTGTTTGCATTTCTCCACACCCCATCCACACACTTTTGTCTAAGGCGACCTACATATCCTATCATGCAGTTGTAATTTATTTCAGTCCCATGAGCATGAACCTCAATGTCGGATACAGGTGCTCGTGCGACTTCAAATTTTGGAGGAGGTCCACAACCTACAGTAAGAAATAACAAGTTTAACATTGAGTATTAGTTGCATAAAAACTGGTATAGGATTGACTAGTTAATAGTAAAGATCACAGCATTTGGACAATCTCATTGTTTGGTCCCATAATTCAGGTTTATACATATACTTGGCATGTAAGTCAATTGTCCCCTCCCCCTTCTTATAACTGGTCAACAAGGGATAAAGCAGATGAAACTTGCCTTGTTACCTATAAATCATGCTGGTATGGTGCCTTGCTTGTCCTCCTTCTCTCTTGCCAAAGACAGAAATACTTGCGACTACCAGGACTTCCCAAGATTCCTGATGCTGATACCATTATTAAAGTCCAGCCATGCACCCCTTCAAGCACTGCCAGCCATGAGTTGTCCTTCACCGTGAATGTAATAGGAAGAAAGAGCAAAAAGCAATGGTTCTCAGGGCATATAGATGGCTTGGCTGATACTTTATTGCAAACAGAAGTTCATATTTGTAAATGAATTGCTATTCAAGAACTAAGCTGTCATTCTTTATGAGAATCCTGTCTAAGGGAGGGCTATTCTTTCCCCAGTGGCCTGTGTATCCTGACATGCAATCATAGAGTCATACAGCATGGAAACAGACTTTTCGGTCCAACCAATTGTGCCGACCATAATCTAATCCCTGCTCCTGGCCCATATCCGTCCAAACCTTTCTCATTCATGTACTTATCCAAATGTCTTTTAAATGTTGTAATTTTACCCACATCCACCACTTCTTCAGAAAGTTCATTCCAAACATGAATGACCCTCTGCGTAAAAAAAAATTGCCCCTCATGTCTTTTTAAATCTCTCTCCTCTCACTTTAAGAATATGCCCCCTAATCGGGAAAAGACAGCTACCCATTAACCCTATCTATACCTCTCATTATTTTATAAACTTCTTCTCAACATGGGAACATCACATACAGGAAAACCTTCAAATGATTGAAAGCCTTAATTTTTATTCTGCAACAAAGTGAAGAAAAAAATAAATAGCAACTGCATTTGTCTCTGGGAACAAACAGAGGTTGTTTGCCTTTTGAACAGCAACTAATATACAGTTAATGAATGATCTAGCTCACATCACAGAACTGGGTGTCACTTAAAGCCCTTCTGACTTGTTGCTGCACTGCTGCATCAAGTTGAAGGTGATATTCCTCTGACTCAATGTCTTTACCTTGCTCCTCAGAAGTCTGCTGCCTTTCTTCCAGCTCTTCAGCAACCATCACAACCCCTTTGCCTGCTCTAGTTCTGCAGAGCACAGCATGCAAAGGTTATATGGTATGCTCTGTCTGGACTATACTGCAAGCCCTCCACTCCACCACCCCCAGACCTATGCAAGCATTAGAACATCACCTTCAGCAGGCCTGTGGTCTTCTCCATCTTTGCTCTCATTAAAGAATAGACTGCATTGTATCGGTACATGGAGGTGGGAGGGTTACATGATTGTGTCATTGACAATAGTTACAGAACAAAACCCTTGTCTCCCAATCAACATCTGGCACTTGACAGTCTTAGCATAATCCTTAGTACAATGAGGGCCATGGAGTGCCTCCACCTGGCCTCTGACACGGGGACATTACTCTGTGAAACACAAGGCTGAAGCATTTGCAACCTTTTCAACCAGCAATGCCAAGTGGATGATCTATCTTAGCCATCTTCAGAGTCCCCAACATTACAGATGCCGGTCCTCAACCAATTCAATTCAATATTAAGATAGCAAGGAGGTACTGGATACTACAAAGCCTGTAGACCCTGACAACAGTCCGGCAATAGAACTGAATACCTGTGCTCCAGAAGTTGCTGTGACTCAAACCAAGCTGTTCCAGTAGAGCTACAACACTGGCATCTACTCGACAATGTGGAAAATTGCCCAGGTATCACCTATACACAAAATGCAGGAAAAGTCCAACTGGCCAGTTACTGCTCCATCAGTCAGTAAAGTGATGAAAGGTGTTATCAAGCTGCACCTGCCCAATAATAACCCGCTCAATTACGTGCAGTTTAGATTCAGCCATGGCCTGTCAGCTCCCGACCTCATTACAGCCTCAGTTTAAACATGGATAAAAGAGCTGAATTCCAGAGGTAAGATGAGAGTGGCTACCCTTCACATCGAGGCTCCATTTAACCAAGTGTGGCATCAAGAAGCCTTAGTGATACTGCAATCAATAGGAATCAAGGAAATCTTCTCTCATTGGAGTCATATCTAACATATAGCAACATGATTTTTGGAGATCAGTCATCTCAGCTTCGGGGCATCTATACAAGACTTTCTCAGGATAGTGTCCTAGGCCCAACCATCTTTAGCTTCCCTCCATCATAAAGACAGAAGTAGGAATGTTTGCTGATCATTGCACATGCTCAGAACCATTTGTAAGTCCTCAGATACTAAATCAGTACTTGATCAAATGCAGCAAGACCTGGACACTGACAAGTGGCAAGTAACATTTGTGCCACACAGGTGCAAGTCAATGACCATTTCCAATAAGAGAGAATCTAACAATTGCCTCTTGACATTCAATTACCATCACTGAATCCCCACTATCAACATCCTTGGGCAGAAAATGAACTGAACTAGTCATATAAGTACTGTGACTACAAGAATGGGGCAAAGGCTTGAAATCCTAAAGTGAGTAAATCACTTCCAAGCTGATCCACCATCTACAAGACATAATTGAGGAGTATGATTGAATACTCTCCACTTGCCTGAATGAGTGCAGCCCTAAAAACACTCAAGAAGCTCTATACCATCCAGGGAAAAAAATAACAGCCCATCTTCTGAGCACCACATCTACAAACATTCACTTACTCCACCATCAACATTCAGTCACAGCAGTGCATACCATCTACAAGAAATTCACCTTGCTGAAAATATTTAGTCAGCACCTTCCAAACTCATAATCACTTTCATCTAAAAGGACAAATGCAGCTGCAAGCTTACCTCCAATCCACTCACATCCTGCCTTGGAAATGTATTTCTGTTTCTTTAGTGTCATTAGATCAAAATCCTGGAACTCCCTCAATAGTGGAATTATGGGTCTACCTACAAAATGGACTGCAGCAATTCACAAAGAGAGTGATTGATAAAGGTAGCTCACTACCACTTTCCCAAGGGCAACCAGTGATGGGCAATAAGTGCTGCCCAGCAATCGATGCCTACATCCAATGAATTCATTTTAAAAATCCCCGGTACTTGTTCTACTGGACCTACAGGGCTGACCAAGGCTCACTCCATGAACTGTAGTGATATGTACCACCTGACCCTGACCACCCCAAACAGTCGACTGCCCCAAAGCTGCTGGACCGGTACGGCACATTGCTCTTGACTTACTGTGCCAGGGCTGAGTGAAGGTTGACTCCCTTGGTTTGACCAATAACTACTTTACTTAGACTTCAAGACATAGCTACTCAGTTTATGCACATGCAACATGTTTGCCACATATGCTGCTGTCACCAGGTGCAGGTGTGAGACTGCCATAGCATGGTACTGTACAGCAACATATCCACCTCCTTGACTGATGACAGCTGACAAACATGACAAGCTGTCTAGCTTTATGCTAAAAAGCAAGGCAAGACAGAAGTACTGTGAATCTTTAGGCTTTAGCTGGAGTGGCAAAGCACTAAAAAGCAGTGCAAGACAGGGATGCTGTGAGCATCCATGTAAGTGCAAAGTGAATGAGCGCTAAGAGGACAAGTGAGGAGCCTGAGGTCCAATTCGTGAGATGAATGCTTATCCCTTTCGGCAAAGTGTCCTGGTATTCACATTACAATGAAGGGTGCTGGTGTGCTCCAAAGTACAGGACTGAAGTGTAGAATTGTATTGTAACTGGATCAGAGATCCAGTTGTGTTAACACGAGGTTGTGTTGAAGCTGGTACATGTCTTATGCAAGAGGGTGTGCGTGCTGTTCCTGCCCATGGAAGCTGTCTTGAAACATGACTGTCCAACCTGGAGGCCCCAATGGTGAACTGGAGTTGCCAGCTACCTGCTCGGACTTTCATGTCAGGAATTGTCACCATCTCATTTCAATAATAAGGGACAATAATAAGCTGCGTATCAATGAGGCAAGATTAAATAATCATGACATACTAATGCATACAAATGGATGCAAATTGACCTCTCGCCACTCACTCGTGAGATTCTCATCTTGCTGTTCAAAACTTGGTTGGAAAATTAGACATTTTTCTCAATGTTTGGAATCTCATTTCTGCCAGTCTCACCATATTTTCCCAGCTGACTTGCCAATGCCCACACCATTCATGAGTGTCTTTCTTGCCTAAGTTGCAATGATGTGTGGGAATTTGAAATCTGCACATAGAGAGCAAACAGCGCATGTGGAAGAGAGGGTGGCAACCATCCACAGTTACGCTGGTGGACATTTGGTTTATAAGTTGACTAATATCTTCTGATTAATTTTTTGAGGTTTCAAAGATTGGCTTATATGGTAACATCCATGTTATTTTGTTTCCAAATTAAAATCAACACTTGTTCATCGGAGGATATTGGAGTGGATTGTAATTGTACATTTTGGCAAATGCAAGCAATTAAACTGATTGCCCTAAAGCTGTTCCAGTTTTTACTGAACCTTCCAAACTGGTGACTAATAATGCCAACCAGGCCCAACTACTATTTTAGCTCCAGGCTAAACCAGATTGAAAGAGAAATTAAAGTAGAAATTGCTGCAGAAACTCAGCAGGTCTTTCTCCATCTATTTCTGTTTTTTTGTTTCAGATCTCCAGCATCCTTAATTCTTTGTTTTATTTCAGTTCAGGAGAGAACTGAGATATGGAGACGTGTTGAAAGGTGCACTTCTTACTTCTCTCTGAGAAGTTTTCAGATTTACACAATCTGCAGCATCTGGGCAAAGGAATGGAAAATGGTGTGTCAGGGAGAAAGAAATACTGCTAATGGGGGCCATAAATGAGTGAAAATGGGTTGATTGTGATGAAAGCAGCCCATGTGATGACAAGGCCTTGGGTCAGGGTGTAGGTATAG